GAGTTCGACAACTCGGAATCAGACCCAGAATCAGACAGCAGCACGTGCACACCCAACCCCACAACTATACACACGAGTATCAGACTCGCCACTATAGAGAGACTAGAGAGACCCAACCGTCCACGTACACGAGTCACCCACGTAGGCATTCTGCACAATGAAAAACAGTAACATAGAATATTAAACACAAATCAACTCATGGTTATGTTTCACGCATTTAACTTACGAGCATTCATGTGTACATGTACATGCACATGTGTAGATGCGATGTACATACGTACTCATAGCTGTATTTGATTTCCATGGATTCAAGGTGTGTGTGTGTGTTATGGACTCCCTTGTATTTTTTAAATCGAGATAGCACATCTGTGAAGTTATACGTGCGTATATCTGTGGATACATTCTCTTCTGCAAATACTTCCGAATATACACATAGCACACATAAATACAGTTTCCTTTATCTCTGCAAGCTATCCCGTGTACGTCTACTAAAACCTACCCATTACATATGAACAAGCAAGCGTGTATGTATACAGAAACATACTCCTCAAGTGCTGGACTGAAACATTTGCACTGGGACACACAGACCAACAGCAATAGACCCAATACCCAGTCCAAGAGCCATAAGGAAATACAACCTCCCACTTCTCAGGAGACTAACACCGGGGGACTTTGGCAGATGCAGATTTATTTGATACACACTACAAGCGTACCATAAGAGGTAACTATAAGCGTACCATAAGAGGTAACTATAAGCGTACCATAAGAGGTAACTATAAGCGTACCATAAAGAGGTAACTATAAGCGTACCATAGAAAGCACTTCCGTTATTTAATCGGAGAGTCGAGCGTAACTGTGACCTTTGAGTGAAACGCTTTCATAACAGAGATGTCACTGGTGGGCGTGTTCCAACCAATACGTTTGAAAACTGCAACCTCAATCGCCGACCCACACTCCAAGGCGTGAGATAATCGGTTGCTATGCGCAGCTGTTGATTTTATGTGAGGATGAGACAGCCTCTTATCTACAATGGGCTCGTACATTTACATAATGGGCTCGTACGTTTACATAATGAGCTCGTACGTTTACATAATGAAATCGTACGTTTACATAATGATCTCGTACGTTTACATAATGAGCTCGTACGTTTACATAACGAGCTCGTACGTTTACATAATGAAATCGTACGTTTACATAATGATCTCGTACGTTTACATAATGAGCTCGTACGTTTACATAATGAGCTCGTACGTATACATAATGCGCTCGTACGTTTACAAAATGCGCTCATACGTTTACATAATGTACATAATGAGCTCGTACGTTTACATAATGCGCTCATACGTTTACAAAATACGCTCATACGTTTACAGACTTCCTAGCACGACGGATGTTCTTGCGTTCGATTTTTGGCACAACTGCATGGGATACGCTTGCTCAGCATCTGTGGGCAGCCTACAACGACCTACAGTGTTCACGGAACGGATTACATACTTGGCCCACACGCGTCTCTAACAACGTTCTTATTCGTTGGTTCTGAATACAACATGATATATATGCAACATCAGCCTGGGAGCTATTGTACCATAGTCGGGCTACACATACCGCTCATTGGACGTCTCATCGGTGTGTTGATAGATAGCGTGTATCAGTTCTGTTACAGCACCGAACGCACCTTGCTAGTCGAGTTATTTATAACCGCCAATCATATCTTAAGAATCCAGGCAATGAGACCGATTGGCATACACGTGTATACACCCGCATACAGCATATACGTCAGTTTACAGTAATCGCCAGAAGACATATTCATCAGACAGCTCTCACACACTCACAGCTCGAAACTATAGCAACGCTCACATTCAGTTATATGAGGCAAGTGAACACACACAGCTCGTAACTATAGCAACAATGATTGTATCCAGCAATATAAAGCAAGTGCGCTAAGTGATTCGTTGCACAAACCAACTTACGCACGATATTGTACTGAGAACGAGTGTACGCCCAGCGTACGTAACGGTGTCTAGGAAGGTGTGTGCAAGGCACCCGGCATGTGGCATAGAATATGAGCTGTAGTGAGACAGTCAGGCTCTCTGGCACAAGCACGTAACATGATACTTGGCCTATGGACCCTCTAGGCATATAAATACTGAACTTTCTCCCGGTCAACAAACTGTACACATACTTCATATTAAGGTCATATATGGCAAGAGTAGGCTACGCACGCAAATCGTGTACTCTCAGCGAAATAGATATGAAATATGCATACAATACACACACCTCTAACATACACAAAGACCACCCAATGCATATACTCTCCAATATAAAGATACAACCAACTAGCCAGCCAAACCCAGGCACACACCTCTCATCTGGAACTATGTCATGATTGTCCTCCCCGTATTCGTCAGCGCTCCCATCGGAGTCCGAGTGCAGGTTGTATAGCAGTACCGAACTTCCAGCATTGGGGTTTGTGCACACGTGCTTCTTGGTGAGCACGTGGTCGGGCGAGTCCCTACCTGCGGTTCCGCCAAGCAAGCCACCAGTACTAACTGGCAGATCCACCTGGTTGGGTGTGAGTGTGGCCTTTCCAATGAAGATGTCCTCCTCTTCAGGATGATCCTCCATCATGCACTCTTTACATATATGTACCTGTATACACACCGTTTCGGGGGCGAGTGCTTGCAATGCATGCGTCCGTGGCCTTCTCCTTGAAGGACTGCTTGCTTTGCCATAAGCACAGGTGATACTTGCTATGTTTAAAAAAAAAATATATTAGGTGATTTGGGGTTCTTCTTGCTGTTTATTTATGTACTATTACAAAAAATATATTTATTTATATGAGCGATTCGTACATATTTATTTAATTAGCTCCCCTCGGTTCGCTTCTCGTTAAAACGGTGCAAAATCAATCGTTTTTGCGTTGAAGTTCTATATCATATATGTATAGCAGTAGTAGGATGCATTATAAAACGTATGTACATACCTTGTAACATTGGGATTTCAACTGTGAGCGCGGGGTATTTTATATATTTACTAAAAATACATTATGTGGTGACTTGTGAGCTGCAGTTTATCTTCTTTTACACATTTAAAAAAAAACGTACAATAAAGTTCAATCGCTTTTGCGACAAAGGTGAGTTTTTATTGTTTTTTAACTAAAAGTTCCGTCGAGATTTGGGCTGAGTGAGCACTGATCAGGTTATCCTTCTATTCTAAAACGTATATTACTCAATCATTTATGCGGTTGCGTTAAACGTTTACAGCACGGGTTGCAAAAACTTTGTATTTTTTTTTAAACTCTATAAAGAAAATACTGATAAATAGACGTTAAAATAGCTGATTTTGCGATATAAAGGCGGTGGAAGATGGATCCTAGATACGAGCCACAAGAGGCACACAGCCACACACAAGCCATGCCGAGGTATCCTGTGCCAACTCGCTGGCACTCAATACCTATACTAATGGGGTGTGCGCCGTTTAAGAAGTGTTTATGTCACTGGTTGTTCTCTGGCAATACTCGGATGTTGGTGTTATACAACCTGATAGCCTGATTGCTTGTACTAGAGCGATACACAGACCAAACCCTAGGCCACTCGATGCGTTTTTTCAAACCTCAACTGTTGTATAGCTTGGTTGTTTGTGTCACTAAAGCAGTGCACTGAGGTGAGCTGTACCAATCTCATTCATCAGGCTCTGAAAAATCCCTCTGATCGTGAGTGTTTGATCCTGTTCACTGTCTTTCGTAGCGCTACTAACTCGCCTGTCGAGCCCACACCCCAATTCGTATTCAATCAACGGCGTGTGAAACCTAGACTACAGTCCGGTGTACCCAGTGCTGTACTAACACCACGTGTTCTGCCACTAGAGTCTATCCTGGATCAATCGCTTGAGATCTCTTCTGCACATAGGCCACCCGCAGGTCTTCACTCACTGTAGCCGCAACAGAACCCACCTGTGTCCAGCTCACTCGTCGATTGACGAGATAGGAGTATCACTATGTCTCTGAGAGTATACCCTGTTACTATAGCAACATATTTCCCTGAAAGTATCCTTCGTTACTATAGTAACACGTCCCTGCGTTATACAGTAGCACGACTCTGTCACGTTTTGTCAATTGTCAATTGTCAATTGTCATTCTACTGAGCGTAATTCGTGGCCTCTCTGCAACCTCCGGTGAAGTCGAGCGGTAACTTTCTTTGTGCTGCACAACCTGACACCTGAAATATGACCCTGTCCAAATATGACTCTCTCCTAGTAGAGAGAGGATAATTAAACCCCCCTGATTGGACGAGTGCTTGAAAGTACAAGTTAGAGGGCTATGGCTTGAAGGACCACGAACTAAATAAAGTCCCACAACCGATCTGGTTGTAGTTCCACAAAACTCGCATGAAAATATTGTTTGCCTCTGAATACATGTAGAGTTGACTAACGGGTCCTCAGTCTCAGGTGATCATATCGAATCTGTTCCTATGGCTTGCGCAACACAGCACGTGCGCAGTTCAAATCCGTATCTCTGATCTACTGCGAGATTATTAGTATACCTACTCAGAGGTGATGGGCAGTGCAGTTCGGTGAGGATTCCACGAGTAGGATGTATTGTATTTTCTCTACACTGCCCTTTTAATTAAACATAATCTAAACTGATACATACTACATGGTCTAAACTATTACTTACTACATAGTCTACACTATTACATACTACATAGTCTAAACTGATACTTGTCTAAACTAATACTTACTACATAGTCTAGATCAATATTTACTACATAGTATTCACTAATACTTACTATATGGTATAAACTAATACTCTGTACACAGTCTAAACTAATACTTACTCCACAGTCTATACTAATGCTTACTACATATTCTACCCTAGTACGACATAGCCTGTACTAATACCTACTGCATAGTCGAAACTAATACTTACTACATAGTCTGCACTGATATCTACTGCGTAGTCTAAACTAATACTTACTACATAGTCTATACTTACTACATAGTCTAAACTGATTCTTACTACATAGTCTATACTAATACTTGCTACATAGACTACACTAACACTTGCTACATGGTCTAAACTAATCTAATACTTACTACATAGTCTACCCAAATACTTACTACACAGTCCACACTATTACTTACTACATAGTTTAGGCTAATACTCACTGCACAGTCTACACTAATACTTACTATATTGTTGTCCAGAATACTATACTTACTACATAGTCTATACTGATACATAGTCTATACTACTACTTACTACAAACTTTACTACTACATAGTCTGTACTAAAACTTACTAATTAGTCTACACTATTAAATTACCACATAGTCTACACTATTGCTTATTAAATAGTCTACACTATTGCTTATTAAATAGTCTACACTATTGCTTATTAAATAGTCTACGCTAATATCTACAATATAGTCTGCACTGGTACTTACTAGATAGTGTACACTGACAGTTACTATATAGTCTAAACCAATACTTACTACATAGTGTAAACTAATACTTACTACATAGTCTACACTAATACCAATACTATATAGTCTACACTATTTCTTGCTATATAGTCTAAACTAATTGTTCTTATATAGTCTATGCCAACTTACTTCACAGTCTCAACTAATACTCACTTTGAACAGCCTAAACTGAATAATACTTCCTACATAGTCTACACAAATACCTAATAGTCTACACTAATACTTACTAGGTATTGCACACCAATATTTACTATGTCTGGTCTACACATGCTTAATAAATACATAGTCTAACCTAGTACTTACTACATAGTCTACACTAATACTTGCTACATAGTATACACTAATACTTGCTACATAGTCAACATTAATACTTACTACGCAGTCTATACTAATACCAATAGTACAGTCTTCACACAACTACAGTAGTCTGCTATACGTTCCAAGAATCTATACTGGCCAGTGTCTTTCTACTACTAATGCTTGCGCTGTGCTGCCATTGTCTACGACGTGTTACTACTGTCCACACTATAAAACTACTGGATACACTGTAGTACTACTGTCCACACTATATAACTACTGGCTACACTGCAGTACTACTGTCTCCGTCAAATTGCCATACAATTGAACGAATTTATCCAGTCGCGCTATATTACAATTGCAACGGTACAAACGCTACCATTATACTCTCTAGTTTCCGTTGCGAAAGAAATATCTGCGTGTTACCACTCGAACTCCTCACAGTTGTAAACACCACAATCAGTCTGGACTGTAACGTCAACCACAGACGACACAAAATAGCTATAGTCTCTGCACTGTCTGTAGTATCGAGTCTACATGGCAAAATCTAAATACTGTGGGAATTAGGTAATAGCCCACTTCTTCGGGCAGCAAAGCCACAACAATTTGGATATGCATTTTCAATTTTTCTAATGGTGAATTGATGAATGGTGACAGGTGACCGACTGACAAGCGACAGAAGCAAATTTGAAGCGCTAATTCCAACAATGATGGGAAAGAACGTCGCGGTGCCCAACAGGTTAAACGCATTCCGGGATAAATTATAGAACTCTCTACTAGATGCAAGAACAACAATTACTATAAAAGCTAAAGTTCTACTGACTGTGTATCATGAGAAGCAAAAAAACCCCAACAACCCTCATATACCATGAACACTATTGTGCCGTCAAACAGTCCATCATTGTAATCTAAATATTTAGAACCATGTCTCATTTAGAAGGCTGTCTTAGAATTTGCGAATAGTAAAATAGAGGCCTAAAAGCGACGCAGGGAAGCAACTGAGTTTTCGAAGCGTGAGTGAGTCTATAAATTGATGACTTTAAATGCGTACTTTAATGCATGTTTTTCTTTGTTTTCGAATTCTGATGACGTCGCTATTTTGACGACCATCGTTTTTACAAGCAGTCACAGCAACCCCAGACACTGTTCTATAGTCAAGCGCTCTACAGGATCCAACCTAAGCAAACCTCGTATAATATTTGACATGCGCGGTGATAATCCCGGCCAATTGGAAACAGCACTATCGCTCTCTTCCTCGCTCTCCCCCTCTGTGTTCGCGGTCTCTGAGCACCCCTTTTGGCTATACCTCGCAAAGTCCGCGCATGTTACAGTAGCTTCCCGAAAAGGCAGCACCCCTGTGAGGACGGAATATATAAAGATTCCGAACGCCCATGCATCTACAGCCTTCAGATCGCACGACTCTCCCGATTCGGTAGTGAAAAATTCGGGCGCCAGGTAGGGCAGAGAGCCCGCCCTGAAATCACGTTCCGTCATAACCCAAGGTTCTCCCGAAGGTCCCATACTTCGTGCTGATCCAAAATCTATGAGTTTAATATAACCATCATTACCTACACACACGTTCTCCGATTTAATGTCCCGATGGACTAAGTTCTTCTCATGCAGTGCAGCAAGCGCCTCACATACCCCTCTGATTGCAATCACAGCTACTGATTCTGGTATACCCTTGTGAGTTTCGACATGTACAAGTAGATCTCCGTGCTCGTACAGTTCAAAAATCAGCGCAGGTTTTCCTGTTAGAGTTCCAGAATTATTGTCTACAACAGGCAACTCTACACCCAAAAGCCGACCCACATTAATGTGTCCTTCCATTGCTACGTGTGCAATGATTTCGCATCTCATGGCCTCAACAAGTGCCTCTGTGGTAATTTCATCTGTTTTGAGCTGCTTGATCGCTACTCGCTCGTGTGTATGCGGATTGACTCCGGACATAACAATAGACGTAGCTCCGTGTTGTAGTACTTCGATTACTTGGTGATAGCCTGAACTATATTTCATTAATTTAAGTCCAAGCTTCTCTGTGGAAGGCTTCCTATTGCATGTGCAGCTGTCCTCGGCTGCACTTCGGCGTGGTTCAAATACAGATTGCATTCTTTCTTAGAATACTTCGTACCGATGACAAACTCGTATGTCGTTCCAAGTTGGAAGGCACTCTGTCTATATGTTGTCCAGAATGTTCAAAACTATTACAAAGACTTGAGATCTCCAAAGACATCAATGTATATTTGAATATTGCATCGGAATTCTGAAATAAATCGGAAGACGGCAACTCATGATAAAGTCGCTGAACACAGGGCACAGGAAAAATATATATAAAATTAAGAAGAGTGGACTGCGGCCTGGACCCGCTGCAGTGAATGGTGAGTTGGTGACGGTGAGTAGACGTAGTCGGGGACTCGGGGGGTGGATGGTGAATTGGTGATGTCTGAGTTGTCCGTTCTGATGACTCTGAACTGTAAAATAACTCTTTTCGGTCAAAATAGCTACTCCAAAATAAATATTTATACATTGCTATTTACTTGTTGGGAATGGCGAGTTGGTGACTCATCGGGTGTGTGGACGAGAGTGGTGGGGACTGGGGACTGGGGGCCCTGGGGAGGGGCAACTTTGCACGCCGCATTAGTTTTTGAAATAAACCTGCTCATATATTTTTTCAAAATATTGTTTTTATTTTCTGTTTTGTTTCAAGATAAATATTGACAATTTGACCGAATAAATTATAAACTGACTAAATCAATCTATGTCACAAAAACAAAAAAAAGTATTTACATTTTAAACCATCTCCGGTGCGTGATCTCGATAGTTTGTGCACGATCTATTGGTTGATGTAAAATATCTCCGAATTTTTAGTTGTTTCAAAATTTGTCAAATGAATAGTTCAACTCCGAAAGGTTAAAATGTCTAATATCCACTCATCCAGGGTATAAAAAAAGTTTTTGTTTTGTTTTGAAAATTATACAAAATTTGAATAATCTACAAATAGCGATGTAATAATTGGCTAAACAATAGTCGATATAGATACGTGGATTCATAGCCAGTAATTGTTCGCAGCGAGTTACTGTGACAAAATTAGTATAAAATCTCTGAATAGTTTCGTGTAGAAGAAGAATCAAAGAAGCAAATTTTATAAAATTTATTATTTAGCTATTTTTTATAAATTTAGGCTGTGGATTTGCCAACTTCAGGAAATATTGGGGAACAAAATATGAAATGAGTAAAATACCTTACTCTGGTAACTAATTTCGATATTTCTTCGCACGATCCATAATTTTGACAGTTATTCTGAATATTCAGGAAATTATGGAAAGTGACTTTCAAATATTTTTAGCCTCGCAATTTTCTGATTTCACGATTTCGAGTGTTTGCCATTCCCAAATTATGCAAGATTCAATCCAAAAAATATACAACAATATTTTGTTTTGTTGTATATTTCACCATAAGTCAAAAAGAGACCCTCTCATTAAAAGTCAGGACTGCATGAATTATTTAGTTTTATTTTTCAGGAATCTATTTTATAATTTCGATCCACAAGGTAAAATATCAGGATAGAAACAGTCAAATTAGATCCAAAATCAGACTTGCACTTCCAACAATATTTCAAAAGTACAGACGGATTTTTTATTGAATATTTCATTCAATAAAACTTTATTTAGGAAAAAGGCTAGTATGATTTGGGTTTAGGGTTTTATTTGGTGTCATCAGTTTCGGGACAGTAAAAATATTTATTTTGCCAGCCCTATGTACATCAAACACACTGTAGACTCGCAGAGTGTAAAGTGAGTGTAGACATCAATTTAATGTAAAAACAAGCGTCTGTACTTGTATCTTGCTTGCATAGCCCTATATACAATTCGTTTGTTCTAGACTATCAGAACTATTAAATCACCTATCCGGGAAAAGGAAGAGTTCGAAAGCTTATACGGTGTAACCGTGATTACATCGATTTCTTTTGCAATCGACGGTGTTGAGGCTTCTGAGCTGGCCGCTGATGTAGTCATGACTACTGTATACCTGCGGATGTCTTGTGGATGTTGTTGTAATGCAGACTAGTAGTAACACGGTAATTCACTATTTAGATATCAGACTGGAGAAGTATATTTTCTAGACTTCCTGTCATTGAATTGTCACAAACACGATTCAGTTGCCAATGGATGTTTATTGGTTATCTATCAGTTCGGCGGGATTTTCCTCCACACAATGGCGAGTGATTTACTGCCAATTTATGTACTATAATGTGTATCGTATTGTGGTACAAGTAGGAGAAACCGTACTGTGGCCGCATTTGGTGTGATTTGATTAGCCCAGACTAAGGTCAGGGTCAGATTTATAATAGTCGCATCCACAGGCACAGTCACAGTCACAGTCACAACTTCACTACGCTGAGTCGCCCCTCTCTCCCTAATAGAGAGAGAGTATGTAGTGGATTACTCTATCTGAGAGAGCCTACAGTAGTACATAGTAGCGTGGGGGGCTGGGGCGCTGGGCCCCCTGGGTGCCTGAGGGGGAAGTACCGCAGAGGGGTGTGGCTGTGGGGTTGATCGGGTACTTTAAATTCTTTTACACCCTCTCTCTTACTCCCTCCCTCTCTCTGAGAGTAGAGAGAGAGAGAGAAAAGTAGGGATGTGCGGCTTTGCGGGCCTGTTGCGCCCTGCGAGTCTGCGACTGCGAGGCTGCGCTATAGCCTTCTTACTTCTATTTTTAATTTTAATTTTAATTTGTTTGAAATGAAACATTTGCGTCCGTTGCCCTGCGCCCTGCGGAATAAATTGCTGGTTTTAAAATAAAGTTATGAAGTCCTCGGACCGACAGACCTGGAGTCTTGAGAAGTGAAGACTGAACTATACTTTGTGGCCCATTTTTTAAGACAAATTTACAAGGAATTATTTTGAATTGTTTTTTCTTTCTTTCAGAAGGCTATGAGTATTTTATATTAGGCGGCTAATTGTTTTTAAAAAACCAAACATTCCTCAAACCCAGGTCACAGTGCAATACGTTACGCTATATACACATATACGGTCAACGTAAAGGTGAATAATTATAATAAATAAACCATATAACGTTTTGGGGGTCAAATATGGTGAATGAAATTTTGTAAATTGCACTTATAAGATACACCTATTCCCAACGAAAAGGACTACATGGCTCAAATCAACCCATGAGTTTTTAGCATCACTTTCAGGTAAATTGACCCGTTACTTGGCGGAAATTTCTGGCGCTAAAATTTAAGGACATAATGGAATCATGACATGGCCTCTTGAATGCACCCAGTCATATATAAGATGAACTATACAGTACATAAACGTTGAACGTAAATTAAGAATTTAATTATTTATACAAGTCTTGTGCCCATAAATACAATTTTTTTTTTCAAATGAGAGCTATTATTTTATAAAACCCTAGTTATTATTTTAATTTTAAATTCAATGAAAGTCGAGAGAATTCTAAGGTATGCTGGAAAATTTCCGGTATTTTTTCTATTCAATGAATAACGTTCTGTTCACAACTTCACTCAGATACTCGGAGTTCAAAGAGTATTATACTCTATAGAATCAGTGCCGCAGCTGTTGTTCACTCAACACTAGCGCTAAATAAATATCTGAATGACTGGAACACCAAACAGCGACATTTTTATAAAAATAGTTATTGATTAATGTACACACTGGTTTTTATATACATAGCGTTCTGTTTTGTTTTGAAAATAGCAGTAATTTTTTCAGGTTGTTTAACTTTTATATTTCAATATGTCAATATGACCTGTCTGGCAGCATGGCACTGCCACTCTCGGACTCTCCGTCTCTCTTTTTGGCCTGAATAATCAGTAAATACTCTCGACTCTTAGGAGTAGCATCATTTTTCAATTGGAGTAAATATTAAATACATGGTTCACAAAGTTGACAGTTGTTGTGTACATATTTGGTTGTTTTTTGAAACAAAAAGACATAGTAAATATAACCCCCAAAAAAATGCAAATACATTGTTTTTATAATAAAAAACAAATAGCAGTTTATTCAAAATATTTTACTTCATGATGGCCAATAAATATTCTTTTTTTATAGCAATACATCTTCTCAGGAGTCAGGACAGTCACTCACGATGTCGTTGTCTAATTATAAAATTGTTTGTTTCTTTTAATATATTAATAAAAATTGAATAATGTCTTGTCTCACCTCAAGTCCCAACTCTCAACTCTCAACTCTCACAAGCCATCCCACTGAGAGATTTGTGAGGCATTTTTAGATTGAGCACAATGCAAGTTGATACAATATATTCTTGAGAAAAAAAAGAACGAGGCCTATATCCAGTTCGGTCCTTATTACAAACTATGTATTTATATATATAGGTATTTACATATAGCAGACTGCAGACAGTGCAGAGTAGACTGCAGAGTGGCATTCTAATGATTCTATGTATGTGTAGGACACAAAATACCAAGTTTACAGGTGCTTGTTGGAATTTCATTTAGCACACACATGAACTATGTAGTTTGGACGAGAGCATTCGCAAACATTGCCATCTGTATTTACGCAGAGATCGAACACTAGAGATTAGTGACCGTGACCAGTGGTAGCAGGGCTTCGAGTCTTTGACGACTAGTCACTAATCGTCTCATCTACTTGACTTGCTTGAAGTTAAGTCCATATACATGTTTACCAATGGTAGCCAGTACCTTCATAGTACTAGTATAGATGTATATTCGTAAAACATTACTCGATTTACACTATCCATTAAGTGGTCACAGTCACGCTGAAGACCTAGATACTCATATACACGCTACCTCGTAGAAGGTTGTAGTGAGATACAATCTAGTCATTAAATTTGCGTGTCGTGATGATCGGAGAAGAAAGTAGGTTTCTGACAAACTAACCTCGCTTGTTCTAGCCAGATGTTTGACGCAGTACAGGGAATGCCTTCTATATGATGTACAGAGTTCTATTATACCTCGTATGCCTTATTTCGGGATATTTATGTGGTTCACTGACCCACTGTTCACATCATTTAATAACTGTGAAACATGACCCCCGCTTGGCGGAGTGAGCAAAGCTCGGTTTTTATTGGCAACCTGTCGGTATTTTGATTATGTATGTCGTAATTTGTTGTACCGAATTGATATTCATAGTTCCGGCAAAAGGAACTGACGGTTATCACCATTGCGACGGGGACACTAAAACACTAAAAAATACGTTGTACGTAGCCTACGTGTATTTGAATGTTGTTTACATGATGTATTTGTATGTTGCTGTGTATTTGTGTGCTGCATAGGTGTGTTTGTATGTTGCATATGTATATTTGTTATTTGTGGTAATTTTTGTACCCATTCACTTGACCTTCTGTTTCTACCTCGCCTACTTGCACCAGATCTACGTATTCGCGGATCTACATATTCTCTTTTTGTATTACTGGTGGCTGTTTAAATATTTTCATTCCCGAGTGCGGTATACGCAAGTAAATGTAGGCCATGATCAGACATTTCCCCTGAATTATACATTGTGTTCATCATGTATTTACACGTACCACTCTTCGCATAAAGTCAACCACTCCTACATGATATCACGAATTTCCCACCTCAGAACACAAAATCACAAAAAAAGTACATATTTTAAATCATGACCCTCTGCGAGATAGCGCCTGATCGGACTATTGTCTGAAGGAATAAAATATCACAAATTTCCCAGCTGTCACAGAAAATTAGAAACGCTAAACAAATGTCAACTGCAGGGTTTATCGCAGCCAATAGAATCCCTGTTCTTAAACGCATTTTTATTGGCCAATATCGGTTTTCAAATTTTCAAACTTCGAACTAGACTCCTATTTAAATATATTCGTATTTACGTAAACAGCTTTCAAGTCGAAGCGTTAACATAGCCCGCCAACTATTTTTTGCCAAAAGACGGGCGGTTTCGTTTTTAGTTGGACAGATTTTTTACTTTCACAGCATAACAGCTATTAATTGTTCTAAATACTACAGATCCAAACAAAATTAGTTTTTAGAATTGGCTTCAATTATATTATCTGAGAACGGGAAAACGGTTTCAAAACTAAGCGTTAACGTAAAACGTACTATTTACGCAAAACACGTATTTGCTTCGAACTCTCTCGTCTACAAATCTACAACCTGAATACATACTGGCCGCCACAAATAAAATAAAACCCCCAGTCCCCCGTGAGGCCCCAATGTTACATAATTTTATACCTTTATAAATACGACATCGAAACGACCGGGTAGTTTGTCATCATTTTGTACACAAATGTCGCAAATCATTTTCACTACTACAACTACGCTATCTTTTAGCGGACATTTGGGGACATTTAGAGTAGTTTGCGACAGCACAACAATTCAAACGTAGCAACGAGATCGAAATGATAAGAGAAGGTCGCTCCACATAAAAAAAGTTGAAACCCGTTGAGATATACTATTCTCAATTAAGTACGCAAGTGTATTCGTACGCCACTCTATACTCCAACTTCCTTCGTGCATAAAAAAGCATTCAATGTATCTGCTAACAGACTTATTATCATATCTAGATTAACATATTTATACAGTGATGAGCAGAACCCTTGTACTGCAATCGTTGATATACATAGTCTGTGTGGTTAACCTACTGGTAATCAGCGTATCTGCTATAACTATTGCTAATAATCTTGATTAACACAATTCGTTAGGTACAATTGATCTAGTTCAGTTTCTATCCAAAATCTAGTAAAAAGTGAATAACTATGGGTAAGAAAGCGCTGGCGCCCGATCGACCCACTATCGATGTGTGCCATGAGACGTTTGTGCACCACACAGCAGGCCAGAGTGGAGCGATGACCAATTTCACACAAGTTCTTCCAGCCAAAGTGATACCCAAGGAGAATGTGTTCGCCACCGCTGAAATGGATTCTCCCTCAGGGCTCAATGAGAAGCAAGCTATGGCACCGAAAGTACCGGAGAAGAAAGCCCTACAGAAGATACCGTCTATCACTTGCGAGTATGAAAAGGTGAGTTTGAAGTGCATTGATCTTTTCCAGTGCATGGGGGTCGAGTTGAGCATGTGCTAGTATTGAGCATTTACATATACATTTAACCTATTTACACTCGACTACAGGTGAACATCTACAGATGTGTATATGGTTTGTGAAAGGCCTTGTAATGCATATACATTCAAATCTTCTACAGTATGTACGTGCATACACAACTTTGCTCTATATCCTTTGCAGGCAT